GTTTCGTTGCCGCGAGGCATATTAGTTTCCAATGATTGGCGTCACTCGTTTCGCCTTTCCGGGTTTTGTGATTAACCCTTTACCAGTACGCCGGGGCGCTTCCGATCTCTGTTTAACCCAACAGTAAAATGGGTACCTGATTGTTAAACGATTTAGCGGGGTCGTATTCCGGGGAACATAGGATTATAAGGACCTGCCCGAAACGCTATGCGTGCTAGTGGCTGTACAAGAATGTAAGAACTCTTGTATATATATATAAATAAGATAAAAAGATCCGCCCTGTCATGCCTGGTTATGCCCGAAATGCTGTGCGTATTAGTGGCTTTAGGCGTTGTATGTACTAGCTCTTTCTAGACATCCAGCATTCTCCGCGTAACTCATTTTGTATATGTATTTTTCCTAAATAAGCATTATGATGTTAGGAATATTACAGTGTTGTTAGCCTCGAGGCCCTCAATCGTCTCTAGCGCGAGAGTTGACTTAGTTTTGGAATGATTTTTGTCGCCCAGTGTTGTACCTTCTTCAGAGCAGCAATGTCCTCCTGAAGATGAGGTCTCCATGCTGGGATACAATAATAGTGTCCCGCTCTCTGCAGCTAATACTTTGCCCAGTCTAGGTGCTAGTAAGTCCTACCGTTAGTCAGGAAACCCTTCTCCTTATTCCTTGGCGGCACGGCCTCACGCCCTGGGAAAATCTTCTCCCATTTGTCATATCAGTTTTTCCCCAGTCACTAGGTATTTTCTGCCCGCCTGTTAATTCTAGGATTTACCATTATGTCTTGGTCGGGCTCCGTTAAATGTTATGTGATCTATTCACTTTATTTCCCCTTTGTGTCCTGACTGTTATACCTAGTTCTAACTACATTTCATCTGCCATTAGGTTTCTGCAGAACGTGTTTGCCATGTCACTAGGCTAAGCTTACTCTTACTACGGGGGTACATTTTAAGTTAAATATTAGTACTCAGACATGGACATGTTACATTTGTTAATTCCTCCTTATATTATTTACATGTTCTGCAGAATTTAATCTACTAATAAATTAAGCCCCCAACTTCCTGTGTCTTTTTCCCCTGATCAGAAACAATATTACAAGTGTACCAGGATTTATCCAGTTGAATCATTACCTTGTTTTCCTTAAAGTCAAAGGTAAGCTCGAGTGTTCCTAAGGTTTGGTTAGTTTTATTATTATTATTATTGTTGACCAGACCACACACTAGAAGGTGAAGGGACGTTTCGGTCCGTCCTGGACCCATTCTCAAGTCAAGATCGAGTTTGTGAATGGTCCAGGACGGACCGAAACGTGGTCGTCCCTTCACCTTCTAGTGTGTGGTCTGGTCAACATATTTCAGCCACGTTATTGTGACTCATCATCTGCATTATTATTATTATTATAACATAAATAAAATGTTATTGTTATGTTAAGAAAAGTACATACACAGATGTAGAGTTACAACCATACTGTTGGGTTTATAGATTGAGCTAGTACATACTCGCAAATGTAATAAGTCAATATTGACTTATTAGTTGCGTGCATAGGTGACATACTAAACATAATAGTTTCCCTTCAAAAGCTTCATAGAAAACACCGACCTTACCTAACCTACTAAGTATGTTAAAATAAGCATCTTATAGCTTCGTAATTACAATTGTTACTTAACCTATAATAGGTATAGGTTAGGTAATAATTGTAATTACGAAGCAATAAGATGCTTATCTTAACATACTAAGTAGGTTAGGTAAGGTCGGTGTTTTCTATGAAGCTTTTCAAGGGAAACTATTATGTTAAGTATGTCACCTATGCACATATTTAATAAGTCAATATTGACTTATTAAATTTGCGAGAACGGGTTGCACATACAATACCTAAAGCCACTATTACGCACAGCGTTTCTGGCAAACTATACTGCTGCATAAAATATTATACTGCTGCTGCTGCTACCTGTTGTGAAACTTAAAGTGAGTGCAACCCGTTCTCGCACTTTCTTGCAGTCAATATTGACTTATTAAATACTTGCATATGTGACATACTAAACATACTAGTTTACCTTGAAAAGCTTCATAGAAAACACCGACCGTTTTCGGTTGAAAACATTTTCCTTTTCTTTCGAAAACCTGGAAAGTGCGAGAACGGGTTGGTGAGTGATGGTTCTGACTCTAAGGTACACTTCGTCATCAATCTGTTACAAAGTAATGTCTTTAATTTGGTAGTTTTGATGTGGGGTTGCCCCGCGTGTCACCACGTTAATTGTGGTGACCCGTCCCAGCCGAACAATGGTTGTTTGACAGGAACGGGGGATATAAATATATGCAGGTTAACAACCCAGTTACAGCACGGCTCCTGTGCCAGGTAAGTCCACTACGGGCTCACCATAGCCCGTGCTACTTGGAACTTTTTGTTCCTAGAAGCTGAATCTTAAACAACAACAACATTTAACAACCTGCAATGTTGTTGTTGTTATAGATTCAGCTACTCGGAACAAGTTCCAAGTAGCACGGACTATGGTGAGCCCGTACAACCTGCTATTTTATATCACCACAATATAATTGGCTGCAAGAACAGCCCCGTGCTTTGATAAAGGAACATATATAGAGCATATATAAGGTTTTAAGCCTTATGACAATAGAAAACAGTACCAAATCCAACCTATCCAAATATAAAATAGTTATACCGAAAATAGCAACTATAATATATCCCAAATTTATTTATTTATTTATTTATTTATTTATTTATTTATTTATTTATTTATTTATTTATTTATTTATTTATTTATTTATTTATTTATTTATTTATTTATTTATATACAAGAAGGTACATTGGGTTTGTGAGAACACATTGGATAGTACAGTATTTACACTCTTGTAAAGCCACTAGTACGCGCAGCGTTTCGGGCAGGTCCTTAATCTAGCAGATAATTTTAAGTAGGTAATTTCTATCAGAATTGATAAATGATAAAGATACATTGCAAGAGAAAAATGAGATGAGAAAGATAAGTAAGTATATTAAAGCACATTGTTATATTAAAGCTCTGATTGATTACATTGACAGCTTGATTAGTAATTTAAACAAGATTAATAGACACCATACAGCAGATTGACAGCACATATAAGACAGCAATGATCACAATGGTAAAGATGTTCAGATTGGGTACATAAAGATTGGGAGACTGGGGTAGCAAAAGATACAGATAAACAAGATTAATAAACACCATACAGCAGATTGGCAGCACATATAAGAAGACAGCAATGATCACAATGGTAAAGTTGTTCAAATTGGGAACATAAAGGTTGGGAGATTGGGTAGCAATTGATACAGTGCAATTTTAAGGCAAAAAGTGAAAAACTATGAAGATGAAATTAGGTACTTTTTAGTATTGATTTTGAATGATGTAAAAGTTGGACAGCTTTTCAATTCAGTAGGGAGTGAGTTCCATAAACTGGGTCCCTTTATTTGCATAGAGTGTTTACACAGATTAAGTTTAACTCTGGGGATATCAAAGAGATATTTATTTCTGGTGTGGTGATAATGGGTCCTATTACATCTGTCCAGGAAGAGTTTCAGACAAGGATTTGCATTTAAGAACAAGGTTTTGTAAATGTAGTTGACACAAGAGAATTTATGGAGTGAGATTATGTTTAGCATGTTTAGGGAGTTAAACAAGGGGGCTGTGTGTTGTCTGAAAGCAGAATTTGATATTATTCTGATAGCAGATTTTTGCTGGGTGATGATGGACTTGAGGTGGTTTGCAGTGGTTGAACCCCATGCACAGATACCATAGTTGAGATAGGGATAGATTAGTGCATAATATAGAGAGATGAGAGCAGAGTTAGGTACATAATATCTGATTTTGGAGAGTATACCAACTGTTTTAGAGACTTTCTTAGTTATGTGTTGTATGTGGGTGCTGAAGTTGAGTCTCTTGTCTAGGAATAGGCCAAGAAACTTTCCATCATTTTTATTGCTAATGTTTACATTGTCTATCTGAAGCTGAATTGCATTTGTAGATTTGCTTCCAAATAGGATGTAGTAGGTCTTTTCTATGTTAAGTGTTAGTTTGTTGGTTGACATCCATAAGTGGACTTTTTTTAGTTCATTATTAACAACATCATTTAGTGTGTGTGGGTTGGGGTTGGAGTAGATGAGGGTAGTATCATCAGCAAACAAAATAGGTTTCAGAATGTTAGAGACATTAGGCAGATCATTGATGTATATAAGAAATAGAAGAGGTCCCAAGATGCTGCCCTGTGGCACTCCAACAGTTATTGGTAGAGTGGGAGAGGTTATATTATTGATGGCTACACATTGGTGTCTATCACTAAGATAGGATTGGATATAGTCCAGTGCATGGCCTCGGATTCCATAATGATGGAGTTATAAAATATATAAATAAATATAAAATATAAACAAATATCAAATATCTTGCCCGAAATGCTATGCGTATTAGTGGCTTTAGGTATTGTATGTACTAGCTCTATCTATAAATACAACATTGTTATTACGACATTAGTTATTACGAAACGTGTTCAAGCGTTTTTTAGAAATAAAAATGAATTTTGGAGAACTGATTTTTCAGTTACCATCGACAGTGGAAAGAAACATAAGAAATATTGAGAAAATTCGTGTTAGAATTATTAATCTTACCTTTTCGGTCATATTTAACAACATAAATCTCTTCATCTATGTATGTCTTTCCTAAGGATTAACGTAGTTCTATGTATTATACAGTGTTAGTATATAGTGTATGTAGTTAGTATTATACTTACTGCCCGAAACGCTTTGCGTAATAGTGGCTTTAGGCATTGTATGTACTAGCTCTATCTATAAATCCATCAACTTTTGTATTTCACCTTGTATGTATGTACTTTACCTGAATAAATATTTGTATTTTGTTGTATTTGTATGTATTTTTCCTGAATAAAATTATTTTATTTGAATACAAACGCTCACAACCAAAGAAAACGGGTCAAGGAGAGGAGTGGTACAGAGTGCAAGCGACCGACGCGATCACAACAACAGCCATCACCGGCCGGGACCCGCAACCCTGGTGTCAAAATAATGGCTAAATACCTCCAGTTAACCAGCACTATAGGCATCATGTGATCCATACATGCACTTCAAATTATTGGAAGAACCAGCCGCCAAAAACGTAAGTCTTGTAAACGAAAGAGAAGTGATAATCTGAGGCCATCAACCTCCATCCTTCACTCACGACCAGTAAGGTAAACATCAGGAAACAATACTCAGACCCTCCCCCTCTCTGCCTAACTCTTAACAGTGCCGCGTATCCCAACATTACCACTCGTGCAGTCATCAGCAAGGGTAAAACCTTAACCCAAACTGTATATCATAAACAAAACAGTATGCAACATTAGTCATAGGAAAATATCCCCCCCCAGGCCTAATTGGCCTTCCCAGTGAGGATATTCTCCCCTAGAGATCCCAAATGTCACAAGATGGCTCCCGCAGCCATCTGGAGGAGATGACGTTCACACAAGCTGCACAAATCGTAAATAAGACGAAGCCTCACCAGTGTCCCGATTGTTTGAAAACGTTCAGCCGTCTTGATAATATGAAGACTCACAGGATGGTGCATACTGGTGATAGGCCTAAGCCTCACCAGTGTCTCGAGTGTGGTAAAACATTCAGTCACATTGGGCATATGAAGAGACACATGATGGTGCATACGGGTGATACGCCGTATGAGTGTCCGGAGTGTGGCGAAAAATTTAGTCAACATGTACATATGAAGACTCACATGATGGTACATACAGGTGAAAAACCTCACGAGTGTCCCGAGTGTGGGAAAAGATTTGGCCGTCTGGATGTTATGAAGACTCATAGGATGGTGCACTCGGGTGACAAACCTCATCCGTGTCCGGTGTGTGGGCAGAGATTCAGGCAACTTGGAAATATGAAGATTCACATGGTGGTGCATACAGGTGATAAACCTCATAAGTGCCCTGAGTGTGGGAAAAGATTCAGTTATCTTGGAGCTATGAAGAAGCACTTTATGGTGCATATGAGTAATGAACCGTTTGAGTGTGCCGAGTGTGGAAGAAGATTCAAAGAACGTGACAGTATAATAAACCACATGGTAGGCCATGTGGGTGATAAACCTCATGAGTGTCCAGCATGTGGGAAAAGATTTATGCATCATAACAACATGAGAAGTCACATATTAGTGCATTCTTGCGATAAATCTCACTAGTCCTGGTGTCCTGTCTCGATGGAAAATATCTAATTAACTATATTAATTTTAAAAGTCACCAGAATCTGTGTTGGATAAAATGTATCATATTAGTAGTATTTAATGAGATGCATATCAAGCCATGAACTTCCTTCTTGTCCAATATATTTTTTTAATATTGTGAGTTTCATCGTGAAAATATTGTACTATCAACTTATCTGTTGACCTCCTTACAAAGGTATTTTGAGTGTTTGAGTTTTGTATGAGAAATACACTTGTCCATTGTGGGCAGAGCTTTGCAGCTTATAATATTTTAGTTATATTTTCAGCTTTTCTTATTAAAGTACAGTACTGTAGTTAGATGGATCTCATAGATCAAGTAAGTGCCAGGGGCCAGATTCACGAAGCAGTTACGCAAGCACTTACGAACGTGTACATCTTTCCTCAATCTTTGACGGCTTTGGTTACATTTATTAAACAGTTTACAAGCATGAAAACTTGCCAATCAACTGTTGTTATTGTTATAAACAGCCTCCTGGTGCTTCAGAGCTCATTAACTGTTTAATAATTAGAAACAAAGCTGCCTAAGATTGAGAAAAGATGGACAGGTTCGTAAGTGTTTGCGTAACTGCTTCGTGAATCTGGCCCCTGAGGAGCTCCTGCCTCACCCCTCACCCAGAATTGTTAACAAGTAAACAAATATTTGTACGTTTTTACCAAATAACATCAAAGTTTAGAATAAATTTTTTACACATTTGAATAATGCTTAACATTTATGACCCATTAAGAAGTATATTGAAAATTTAATGCATCTTTTGGTAGCTAGGTTTGGGAAAGTTTTTATTAAACATTTTATTAATTATCTGGGTATGGAGTGAATGAACAGTGTGAGATATATTCAAGTTTAGCCGTGTTTTTATTTTACAGGAATAATAGTCATTTTGGTGGAAACTTAAAATTCATCAGTTTTCTTTTGCAAAGAAATTTCCATTATATTGAAAAAAATGTAGAATTTATGACTCTTAATGTCTATTGGAAGTAAAATATCAAAAGACTTTAGTTCTATCTTACCTCATAATTGATAACTAATAATAATATAAATGACTATAATATATTAACCTGATTAGCAGTTATTTTTGCTAGACTTTAGCATTAATATCTGTCAAACTCAGATGTTTATATTAGCCCAACTAAAGCAGTTATATCAGCTCGACTCCAGTACTGATATTATTGACAAGCCGCCGGCTTTCTGTCCTCATCGAGGCCACTAGTATTAGTGGTCCTCAGGTAAATTAGTCTGAATCTGGCAATTATATTTGTCTGTGGTTCAGAATTTATATTGTCCTGAATCTGCTAATTTTGTAAATTCAGACATGTATATTGTCCAGACTCTGGCATGTGTATTGATGAACAAATCCACAAGGGCTGTGACGAGGATTCGAACCTGTGTCCAGGAGCATCCCAGACACTGCCTTAATCGACTGAGCTACGACAGGGTAAAAGGGTTGAAACCGAAGTTGAAAGTTGAAACCTTTTACCCTGTCGTAGCTCAGTCGATTAAGGCAGTGTCTGGGATGCTCCAGGACGCAGGTTCGAATCCTTGTCACGGCCCTTGTGGATTTGTTCATTTGATGCATCACGTTAGTGTGATCTCTGTGTGTGATGTGTATTGATCTTTGGAGTATTTAATTCATATTGGTTAGACCTAGGGTAGACCTAAATACTGTACTGATATTATTGTTATGTATTCACAAAATGGATTATTTATAAAGGTGTTTACTTGAATTAGACATGATTATAATGTTCATGCATAGGCCTCAGGTTAACAGTTTAGTGTCCCGGGCGTGCGCGCTGCAAACTTTGACGTCATGCCCCCGGTGGTGTGGGTGAGCATGCGGGTGAGCGCTTGGCGACACTAAATATGTATACTCGTTTCAGTTTTCCGACCTTAATTCTCGTGCTACATCATTCTCTACAGGTGTATATGCATATAAGGTCCAAAAGTCAAGCGTGAATCCCCACAGCAAAGCCTAAAGTTGGCAAATGTTACCTGTGAGCGCACAAAACCTGTAAAATGTGTATACTTGTTTCAGTTTTCTCGCCTTAATTCTCATGCTACGTCGTTCCTTTTGGTATCATTGTGTTCGCAATTAAATTCCCTGCAGGTGTATGTGCATATATTGTCCAAAAGCATGGTGTGACTCCCCTTAGCAAAGCCTAAAGTTACCCGTGAACGAGCACCAATTGGCACACCCGCAATCTAATGTATACTCATTCAGTTTGATAACATCAATTTTCGTCTTGTGTCTTTCATTTTGGTATCAAATTGTTTGCAATATAAAGGCGTGTATTTTAAAACTAGTCCCATAACAATAGAGCAATAAATGGAATTTTAACAAATATTTAAATTTTGGACGCTTATCACAAAATTATTTATATCTTTCCATCTTTCCAGTGTTTTGACATCAATTTTCGTGTTACATCTTTCATTTCAGTATCAAATTGTTTGCAATCTAAAGGCACGCATTTTAAAACTAGTCCCATAATACTAGCACAATAAATAGAATTTTAACAAATACAGGTATTTTAAAATTTGGACCAAAAACGTATTTAGAATCATTCCAGTGTTCTGACATCAATTTTCATGTTACATTTTTCATCTGGGTATCAAATTGTGCGCACTCTAAAGGTGCTCATTTTGAAACTATCCCAAAGTCGATCGGATAAAAATTGAATTTTATACAAATATTTTATCGTTGGACGCAAATGATGTCACGAGAGAGGACTCGGTAGAAAAATTGGTGATGCATTAAGTGTCACGAGAGTGCGAAAGTGTTAAATATTGTTTATTTACTAGATGTATGGTTAATGTACTGTAGGCCTATGTATTATGATGTATAGGAGAAAAGTATGCAGCATTATTTCATAAGATTAATTTCTTGTTGCATTAGTGGTTGTGAATATAGTGAAATTTGCTTATCATTAGTTTATAGATCAAATTTATTGCCATTTAATTATTATATAAAATGTGACTTTTTCTCTACATGAGGGTCATGAGGGTCAAATGTCGGAGGGTCATTTTCCACTTTGTAACTCAAGAGTTTTCTATTAGCACACAAATGAACTTCATCAATGGTTTGTTTATCCTCTGAAAACTCTTCATTTTCACCTAGAGTCAGGCATAATTCCTAGTTATTTAGAGAATCATGAAAGAGCATCAAATGAAATTAATGAATAGATGAGAAAGTAACTTATAATATTTCAGAAATCACTTGCTTCAAAAATTCTATATATTTATATTGCAATATTGACCAGACCACACACTAGAAGGTGAAGGGACGACGATGTTTTGGTCCATCCTGGACCATTCTCAAGTCGATTGTGACTTGAGAATGGTCACAATCGACTTGAGAATGGTCCAGGACGGACTGAAACATCGCCGTCCCTTCACCTTCAAGTGTGTGGTCTGGTCAACATTCTTCAGCCACGTTATTGTGACTCATCGCCTGCATATCTTGCATTATATATATTACTGAGGATATAGAGATAAAATACATATCAGTAGCTTAAATTCCTGCTAGGGTTAAGTCTCTGATTAGTGGACGCTTGGAAATATTCGCAGGTTTTTTCAAAATTTATGATACGAATCTAAAGAGGAGACATTGTTCTATAATGTGACTGGAGTTTACCTGGTTGATACCTGGTTGATGGGGTTCTGGGAGTTCTTCTACTCCCCAAGCCCGGCCCGAGGCCAGACTTGACTTGTGAGAGTTTGGTCCAACAGGCTGTTGCTTGGAGTGGTCCGCAGGCCCACATACCCACCACAGCCTGGTTAGTCCGGCACTCCTTGAAGGAAACACTCTAGTTTCCTCTTGAAGATGTCCACGGTTGTTCCGGCAATATTTCTGATGCTCGCTGGTAGGACGTTGAACAACCGGACCTCTGATGTTCATACAGTGTTCTCTGATTTTACTTGGTCATTCCGACGTATAAAGTGAAAACTGCCTCAAGTCGCTGTATATGTTGTGGTAAGAGTCGTCCAGACTACACTAAGTTATGTGGGCACTGTCAAATGAGATAATCCATTGTCCTGTTAAAATTAAACGATAAAATTTTGGCAAAAAGTGAAGTACTGTATATATCCACTCCATTACGTTAAGGTTTAATTTAAAAGATAAAGTTTTTAAATTTTTCTACTTGTGGATTTGAGATGGGCTCTCTGAATTTTGATTAGGTTGTAGTTTGATACAGTGTTTTGTAATGTTTTGTTCTGTACCAGTTTATTGTGCTAGTATGGTCTAGGGTGTTTTCTTTCCTAGTTTGTTCTCATATTTGCGTGTTTAAGGCAAATTTATCACAAATCCTTAAGTCATTTGTACACAATCCTGTAGTTCATTTAGACTACTGCCTAGGGTTCTTTCTGATATAACAGAGTTCGCCATAATTTCCCCATTTTATGTGCCGTAGATTGAAGTCTCCAAGCAAGGTAATGTTTTTAGAGTTGGGTTAGAGAGGCATAATAAGCAGTACAGTATTCAATTTCAGCTCCATTGAGATGAGTGTACTTAATGGGTTAACTTATGAGTTGACTTCAACCTGTAACCTGCGTGTTCTGTCACATCTGAGTCTATTGTATTTTGATATCTTTATTTCACTGTTATAGCCATCCTTTGTGGGGGATTTCAGACATAGCTGCAAACACTGCATTATCTCATTGAAATTGAGGATACTGTAGTTGTAAAGTTTGGTTTTATTTGTTCCTCTTACCTTAATACCTTGTATGTAGAAAATACAAATAATGTTATTGTATTTGTATTAAATTTGTTTTTTCCTGGCTGTTAATATCTATGGCTTTGGTGGAGTGCTATCTTGAGATCGTGAGGTTATCTTGAGATGATTTTGGGGCTTAGTGTCCTCGCGGCCTGGTCCCCGACGAGGCCTCCACCCCCAGGAAGCAGCCCGTAGCAGCTGTCTAATTTTCTGGCACCTATTTACTGCTAGGTAACAGGGGCATCAGGGTGAAAGAAACATTTTGCACATTTGTCTCCGCCTCCACTGGGGATCGAACCCGGAACCTCAGGACTACGAATCCAAAGCGCTGTCCACCCAGCTGTAAGGCGCTTTATGAGTTATGCTAGTATGAGTTTTTCCTTTCAAACATTTGACCAAGTATGTGGTAGAGCCTATGTGGAGGAGTGGGAGGTAGGCAAGAAACCTGCCTCTCTAAATGGGTCAAAACTGTAAACCTGAGTGAATGGCAGTGTACAAAACAAACTGACCAGCACGAATAAATACAGCGTAAGATCCCCCATTCCCCTGGTACTATACCGGGATACAAAAACATAAAATACCTGAGAGCCCCAAGAAGAGAGTGTACCCCCAGACACCACCAGCAGCCTGGAACACCAAAACATAACTCGTGGAGGCCTCAACCACTCGAGGAGTGGTAAGCTCTCCCGAAGGCTGTCGGTAACTGGAACCAAATGCACAACC